GAAACCTCACTATCTTGAATCTCAAAAATCTTAAAAATTTCAAAGTATCTTATTTTGACTTCGCTAAATCTAGTTTCCATCGAAATAAAGCTGCAGTTGTTAATTCACTCACAACGTTCAACCAGACTTCTGCTAATGATAATCAAACTGAGACAGGAAAAAGATCATTGCACACACAAGATATAGATTGAGTGCACACTATAGTTCGCATTTAACCTTAGCCCCTGGAGCTTTTTGAAAAATTTAATTTATTTCATTCATGCTTTTTCATGAGCCCATTAATTGTTCATGTATCATCTGGCTGGACTCTCTCTCTCTTCCTTTAGAAGCTATTTATACTTATTCCTGTGAAGGAAATCGTCGATTTGCAGACCGTAATTGTAAGCAGACCTCGCTCTTTCTGCAATACTCTGATATTTTTTTTTCTCCGCTTTGCAGTGCTTCTTTTGTGAATCAGTCGCCGCTCTTAGCATTGTTGGATTAAAAAAAAAACTATGCAAATAAGAGGAAGATGATGGCAATGCCAGTTCTCGTTTACTCAGTATCGTCTAGCTGCGGCACCCAGCTAAGGTTTGTCGGTGTACTTTACTACATTTTCATGGTTGTTCACAAAAAAAAAAAAAAAAAAAACTATGCAAATAAGAGGAAGATGATGGCAATGCCAGTTCTCGTTTACTCAGTATCGTCTAGCTGCGGCACCCAGCTAAGGTTTGTCGGTGTACTTTACTACATTTTCATGGTTGTTCACAAAAAAAAAAAAAAAAAAAACTTACGATCCCTTTGTATCAACATCTCCTAAATCCATTCTGATAACACAGTGGAAAAAAAGCGATAATTTCTCTCTCCAGAATGGTTGTGTTTGGACGACGATATAACCTTTCATCATACATTTCTTTTTAGCGACATCCAATGTTTGCCCCGTGGCGATCCCAGAAATCTTTACGCAAACATAGGGATCCGATTACCAACAGCTCAGTCATCGAGTCACCACGCTTCTTATTTTAAGAGCAGTGAATTTTTCGATTACTGTAAGCCGAAAGCAGGCAATTTTGCACTCGAGTCAACCTTTTCTACAACGGGCGAGAGAGTAATAGCAAACCCCTTGAGAGGACATATTGGAAAAAGCATCCTTTATTAACTTAGAGGGGTCAAGCCAGACTGATGTACGTGTGATTTCAACGTCCGGTTAGCTGTGCGTGACATTTCTGTTTTAGTTATGAGCCCATCAAACTGGTTCTGTCACTCTGTAAAGTTGAACTGGCATTGCTTAGTAACTTTCCTCAATTTTTGATCGATCTGACTGGTTTTGTTTTTATAGTTGAATACACTCAACGAGAGGCTTTAAATTAGGTAAGTATGACAGAATGCAGTACCTCCTTAACCCCCCCCCTCCCCCCATCCCGTCCCGTCTGCATGAATTGCCGTGACTTATTCTCCCCGAATATATTTCAAATTAGATTTACCCTCAATGGTGGAAAAATTCATGGGGATGAGTGTGACAACATAGTCTCGAGTGTGACAACACAGTCTCGCCTTTGACCTCAGGTCTAACATTCATGATATTGGAGGCGTTTTTTCATACGGGAACGCGAACTAAACCCGAAATCATAACCCCACATCCAATCACAATACATTCACGCTTCCGAGTTGGAGCTAATCAACTTTAATTATCCATTAGTCACCAGCACAAAACTATCGCAATGAATTAAATATCCAAAGGGAACTATTTGATTCTCTCAGTCTCACTAGTTGCGTGATAATTTTCACTTCTCTTCTTGAAAGTTGTATCGATATGATATCAAAGTGTCACGGTTGTTTTTTTTTTTCGATTATTTTCTACTTGTCGATGTTTCGCAAAAACTGCCGCAGAAACATCCGCTCACAATAAAACTATGGATTGATGATTATTATGGTAACACATGATATGGAGTACACATTACACTTCGTATTTATCCTTTGTATCTGGAGCTTTATGTAAAAGTTAAAGAGTATTTGCGGTGTATTTACTCGCAGTCTCCGTTTCACTTATTCGATGCTTTGTCATAAGCCCATTGTTCGTATCTTATCTCACTGGAGTTTCCCTTGTCCTTGAGCAGTCCATCATATCTATTCCTTAGGGAACTCGACCAATCGTTGGAATCGGAAGCAAACCTCGCTCTGTCTGCAATACTCTGGCAATTTATTTCTGCTTTGTAGTGTTTCTTGTGTGCATCAGCCACGCTACTGTAGCATTGCTGGATAACAAATGCAGCAACGCCGAGGGCGACGATCGCAATGACAGTAATCCTTGAATTAGGATCGTCTGCCTGCGGCATTTTCCAGCCGAAGGCTTTATAGCCTGCCGATAACCCACCTACGACAAGAAGTAGGACAAATAGGATAGCTTTCCAACTCCCGTAGTATTCTGCACACATATTGTGGGCACGTGAATGCACTTCCATTTCATTTTGCAATCCACGGATATCCTTCTTTACTCTTTCCTGTTCTTTCCGTTCTCTTTCTTCGCGTTCTTTTTCCTCATTTGAAAAAAAATTACCCATGGCACTCGGCAGTGATGGTCCAAAAATGAATCGAAGAAATCTTTTATGTTCAGGCGTTAACACTAAAATCAATGTAGAGGTGGCCGGAAGCTAAAAAAAATAATCAAAGAGGTCGAGTTACTCTGAGAGACGTAGTTTCCAGTCCCAAGGCGTTTAGGGATTCCAATGTAACCTTTTATGGGATTTAGTAGAATAATAGCCCCTCTGAGTGGATGAGTCGAAACGATCAAAAGTCATGACGAAACGATGAAACGCTATGATGAAACGACGAAACGGCAAAACGATAAACGACGACGAACCGATTTCAGATTTGGTCAGTGATGAGTCGAACGTTAACTTAGCTTGTAAAACGACGAGTCGAAGAGGCCCGCGAACGAATCGAACTGACATGCTGACAAGAAGAACTCACGAAGCGATAAGTCGAATTCTTAAAACGGCGAGTCGAACTAGCGATTCGACGAAACAACAACTCGACTAGAAGTAACGGTGTGCGGAGACGATGAAATCATCATCAAGAGTCGGATGACGACTTAATTCTATTCCGCTCAGGTTGTCGAAACGTCAGTCACCGGCCACCGACAATAGTCCTTCTCAGGACTACACCCATCTGGACGATCAGACTGCACTAGCTCAAAAGGGACTATTTGACACTCTTAGCCTCTTACTGCGCTTGTGTGAAATTTTTCTTATCTTTACTTGCAATTTCCGGATTATCTGTACGATATATCTAATCATTGTATTGTTTGGCTATTCTCCATGTGTAGATTTTTCTCAGAAACCTCCATTACTTCAATCTCAAAAATTTAAAGATATCTCCCCTGATTCTGTCTTTGCTGAATCTAGCTTCCACCCAGATACAGTTGTTAATTCACTCAAAACGTTCCACCACAGACTTCCACAACTAATCATCAAACTAAGATTTGAATAAGATCTTAAAACAAAAGTAAAGCGCGCGTTCCGATCGGTCAATTCAGTGTCCACCATTTGCCCATGGGTGTCCGCTACTGACGCGAGCAAATGCAAAGACGAGTTTCGGCCGCGCGCTTGTTTTTTCTGGTCACGGAAGGTTTCAGTGTTAAATAAAGTAAGAATTCAGTGCTAAATGAAAGAACTCTTTTTGCCGCCATTATCATGATAGCTATAATAATAATAACTACAATAGTAATGATAATAATGATTTTTAATTTAATAGTTATGATGATAGCAATGATAATAATAATAATAATAATAATAATAATAATAGCATGTTATTGGAACATTTTATATATATGGGGATCATAGTTATTAAAGCTGAACATGGTACGTTTACACCACTGGTCTTCATCACAACCGGAGGTATCGGAAAAGAATGCAGCAGGTACAATAGCCGACTAGCTGGAATGATTTTAACTAAGAAAGGAGAGAGTTATGCGAGGGCCATCTGATGGATTACAGCGAAGATATCGCTCTATTGCGTCTGAGAGAACAACTGACATTGACATCCAAACAACCGAAAGCGCCATGTTCATTGAATTTAGACTTACAGTCCTTTATATGTCCCTTTTTTAACTATTTTCTTGTTAAATATTGACTATTAGACTATTTATCGTTCACCAGTACTTGAAAGATTGAATTCCAAATTGTTGCAATTTTACCAGTGAACCCTTATTTTGCCTTAGCCATGCAAGTTTAAAAGGAATGCAATTTTTCAGAATATTCATTAGATAGGATTTGGATTTTAATAAAATTATCTCCCATCATAAAAATTCTATTGAAACTTTTTGAGAAATTTTTAGTTATGAGCAAGTTTTAACTATATATTTACGATTTTCTTTCAGACCTTTTATGTTAGAATTCCTGGTTCGCAGATAGTCATAGTGGTAGCCATCAGATAGGTCACGTAGTCACGCCTTGTCTTGTTTGTTACTGTTGTAACTGATTGTTCAAAAAAAATCACAAGGGAAATCAGACGGGTTGCTGAGAAGATTAAAAAAAACGGTGTATCTGGTCAAGTCAACAACATTTAAAGGCCATTTTTTCAAAAAGTTGTGTTACTCTCAAGCATCTCAGATGGCGGACTCTAAAAGTATGTGATTTGCGGCGCATTTTCCTTCATTACAGATTGAAAATGGAAGCCATTCATCAAAGGCCGAGACAGAGTTATACCAGCACCAAAATTAGAACACTCTATCATAGCTATGACTCTATTAAGCAGTCTGCAAATTTTAATTTACCTGCCAGCTAACTGATGCATTGGTATCCCCACCATATGCGCAGAATGCAACAGAGGGATGACGAGGCACTACATTGGTTGCTGCAACTCCTTTAATTTTCCCAGAACCCGTTAATTAATATTTTCTTTCAATAAGCGCCCGTTCCTCTCCCTCCTCTTCCCTCTGACTCAAAAAAAAAAACAAAAAAAATTAATTACGCACCCAGGCGCGGGTATGCGGGCAACAGAGATCAACAAGATTTATGATGTCAGCGACACATTTAAATATTGAGAACCTTTAATATTAAAACGTCAAAAGCGTAAAAATAGTAAAAACAGCACTCGCTGTAGTGTACACACGGCAGGGACTGCTCACATAATTTTTTTGTTTTGTTTTCCCCCACGCCTTCCCCCTCCTTTTTCCCCCTCCACTCCTCTGGTGACATCAATTGCTTGCGTCACGCAAGAAAACCATGATACTCTCTTACGAACTGTAAGAGCTCGAGTGAAGGTTTGACCCACACTCCGTAGTGCACTTATCTTTCTGTAGTTTTTTCTTGCTCAATTTTGAATCATTTGCACTATTTCCAGCGTTTCGATCAAAAAGAAATAGTCTTTTATTATATCACAATTTTGCATTCACTGAATCTGCACTCTGTACCACGCTCAGAGGTCGTATTGAGCTTCACAGACGTTCATAAAAAATTCAGTTTTGGATCCAAATAATGATATTCTCTTTCGGATTCTGGAAGTAATATATAGCTATTCATTTAAAAATGCTTTCCATATCCGTAAGAAGAATTCACCGTCAACCATGCCGACCAAAGAATTTTGTTCTCGCCTCGATATACTTTTCCTTGCGAATGAGTGTTTAGTTTTGTACTTCCGGTCTCTGAATTGAAAGCGTATTTTGTCTGGTGCATTTCATTTGAATATTATTTTTCGAGGCCAATTTCAGTTCATGGTCGTTATAACTTAGATATAAAGCTTCAAACTAGCTACAAACAAAAGACTATAATCTCTTGCCAGAAATGGTGATAGTTGACCGATCGAAACGTGTTTTTCGTAAAATTGGAATTTATTGTCAAATTTTTTCTATTAATAGTATTTATGTGCAGGAGTTTTATATTTATAGTTAAAAACAGACCTATAACATTTATTACAGCTTACGATTCTTCCAAGTTTTCGGCGCTCATTGCAAAGTTTCTTCTGTAACTCTTAAACTTTGCTCTCGTTTCTCTCTCTCTCTTTCCTCAATAACCTTTAAAGCTTTTCGATAAGCCCAGTATTCGGTTTGTATCAGGCTATCCACGTCTTTCTTGTCCCTGAGCAGAGTTTCATACTTTGACGCTAAAGATGCCCACGGTATTTTGGAATCCCAAACCTCGGTGTCCGCTATAAACTTCACCTTCTTTTCGAGATACTGGCATTCTATTCCAGATCTAAAGTGCTTCTGATATAAATTAGCTGGCATACTCTGGATCTTGGGTAATAAATGAACTGAAACGGAGAGGAGAGCGGAAGTGGCTGAGATCGCGGCGACGAGTGGCGCGAGGCGAGGACTACGTCTGACAAGCTCTTTCCAACCAAATGTTGATGCAAAGCCTCCAGTGGCTCCTACTGCACCTACTACAAGCGAAATGTATTGAAGCCTGATATTCCACTTTCTGTAGTATTCCGAAGATATGTAGTGGGTATGAGCAGTCACGCGAAGGCTTCGTGGCATTTTGTTGAGATTATTTTCTAAGCTTGTCCGTCTCTGTTTCTCCTCCTTTGACACTTCTAAACCCATATATACTGACGCTGGTCGGTAGTTTGTGTCCTTAGCACACAAAAAAGTCTCTTAGATCATTCAAAGGTTTTAAAAACGAATAACCTACTTCACAAACAGGCAAACCTAATGATATAAGGGTTCAAGGCCGCATGACGTAAGCTGTTTGATACAGCAATTAAATTACCATAAATTGCAACGGTCGTGTAAGACTTGGCCTTTTGATAAAGGTGATTTTCTCTCTTCCCTGATTTTAAGTTTTTAATTGGCTTTTACAATAAGTAAGTGGAAAAAGCGTGATAAACTTCTGCGAAAAAGAATTCTCGTGACAAGTTCGCGTGACGATCACGTGTGTAGCGTTTGTGCATGATAAATAAACAAAAGGGTGAGTATATTCGACCAAAAAAAGTATTTTATTTTTCCTTCAGGGCGTAACTTTTACGGAGTTTTGTATCTTCTAGATCCAGTTTTTATTGAAAGGAAGGATAACTAGCGAAGAACACTGCGTTTCCTCTCGGTAAAAGGCGTTTTGATGTTAAAATTAATCGTGGAGGGTGCTGAATTGCGGACCTACATTTTCTACTGTTTATCTTTCGTGCATTATCGGTGCGGTTCGGAAACTTTGGGCATTGGTTCGGAGAAGAGGCGAGGCTACCAAGTTTTACGAATTCACGCGAAAACAAAATATAGGAAGGACCAGGGAATGTAATTTCCTCCCATTGATCAATTTCTTTTAACTCACTTTAGTGCCTTTTTAACAAGTCCAGGAGAGCACTACCCGGAGGATTGAAAATTTACTTATTATGTTTGAAATTTATCGTGATTTAAATGGACCTTGGCGTGGAAGAGTGCTTGAAATTAGCCTACTGTTTTAGAAGTTCCTCGAAAGAATGAATCGACAACCAAGCTCGCAGCCTTCACAAAAACCATCGAGAATGAACGTATCTCAGCCGGGAGGACCAACGAATGCCGACTTGGCGAGTATTTTTGAATGTCCTGTGTGTTTTGATTATGTTCTGCCTCCAATTCTTCAATGTAGCAGCGGCCATTTAGTGTGCTCGAATTGCCGACCCAAATTAACTTGTTGTCCAACATGTCGCGGGCCTTTGGGCAGTATCCGAAATCTTGCGATGGAAAAGGTTGCTAACACGGTATCGTTCCCCTGTAAGTATGCATCGGCTGGCTGTGAAGTAAACTTACCGCATAATGAAAAACCGGAACACGAAGAATCTTGCGAATTTCGTCCGTACTCTTGTCCTTGTCCTGGGGCTTCTTGTAAATGGCAAGGTTCGCTGGACTCGGTTATGCCTCATCTGATGCACGCTCATAAATCCATCACGACTCTTCAAGGAGAAGACATCGTTTTCCTTGCTACTGACATAAACCTTCCTGGCGCCGTAGACTGGGTAATGATGCAATCTTGCTTTGGACATCATTTCATGTTAGTGCTCGAAAAACAAGAGAAAATCGAGGGACTACAACAGTTTTACGCTATTGTACAGTTAATTGGAACACGTAAACAAGCAGAGAATTTCGTTTATCGTCTTGAATTAAATGGAAATCGACGAAGGCTTGCCTGGGAAGCTACACCCCGTAGTATACACGAAGGAATCGCCTCTGCTATCTTAAACAGCGATTGCCTCGTTTTTGATACAAATATTGCTCATTTATTTGCCGACAATGGGAATCTGGGGATAAATGTTACCATATCTATGGTTAGTTAAAATGTATTTATGAATCAATGCAATCCAAGCCACTACTGTGTTTGCATTACTGTATTTTCCCTAGTTCCTTATTTAGGGAATCTGTTTCCCAATCTTAACATCTAAATCATCCAAATATACATCAATAACAATAGTTTTAGGAATTGTTGGGAGTACTCATTTCAGTATAACTGATCAGAGGACATGAAAAGTATAGAAGGGAAGTATTCAATTAAGTTTAAAATGAATTAAGTCCCCCCCCCCACCATTTAGTTTGCACAGTTTAAGTCCCCCTTCCAGCTACTTTCTGAGTGAAAAAATTCATAATGTATGCATCCAAGTTGATAAGCTGTTGAACCTAAAAAAAGATTATGTTACTGTACTCTTGTTCTAGACAGTGAAAACAACAACATAGGTACCATGGGAGTCCTTGCTTTACAAAAAAGGACACGTACCATGTAAGGGGATTAGAAAAGCTGTCAAGTTAAAAGTGTAATTTGCTACTAGGAAAGGTTTCCATGTTGGTATTGGTATTGGTTTGTTAGCTCTAGTCACTGCACTGTAGTTACGTATTTTTACATCCTTGAAAAGTGAGCTGCATTATTTTAGTTTGAAAAGATAAATTTCCTTGGTGCATAATTAGTAAGACCAATTCAGCTCAGTTATATTTATGTGAGGGACAAAACATTGTAAACTTGTGTCAAATTTAAATGGAGATATACATGAGCAGAATTGGTGGCTTAAGATTTTTAAGACTTCCTGTGGCCTTAACGAATTAGATTACAACCATCAGTGCTGATCTAATCTAAAACACTTCCTTCAACGAAATTCCTAATACAATGTAACAAAACCTTGGGAGTATTTTTTCCTTGAAATGAAAATTATTTTACCCTGAGGATCATAACAATGCTTTTGTGCCTTGGAAGATTTTATTTTCAAGAGGACAACACTAAAACCAATCAAAAAAAAATTCTGAGATTTTACAGGTGGATTTTGCAAATTGTTTATCCAGTACTGACCAAATTTTCTGGACTCAAGGTAGACATGTCATGAATAGGAGCACATGTATTCAGTTTTGGTTGATGTCAAATGAATTATATTTTCCCAAGATTTTTACTTTGAGTTTTTTAAGGTGATCAAACATTAGAGATAGCTGTGAAGTACTGCAGGTGTAAACATTGGTGTCCTTTAGATTTACACATCTTACAAAGTTTTGTTGCTTTCTTTGACATGCCAATGAAATGATATTTTTGACAAAATCAATAACCCTCAAACTCTATTTTGAAAGTCAGACAATTCTGATCCTCACACTCTTGGTGTTTTTTTTATCAAGTTTTTCATGGAAATTCTTTATGTAATCCTTCAAAACTTAACAGTGACTAGCATCTAATTTCTCCATACAGTAATACTGCTAAATCATTTATTAAGATCAGGAGAATAAGGGAGATGATGGCCAACCAAGCGGCTTTGATTGTTAATCAAATTCTCCTTACCAGCACCAAAACAAATGTATAGAGAAGGCATGGAGATTATGGATACTTAAGGGACGAAGCTGAATAACGTATGCACACATGCTAGGTTTTGGTGCGGAAACACAGATTTTGGGTCATTCGCATGGTTGATTTTCTATTCTGTTCCCTTGAGGTGTTGTTTTCCTTGCTGCTTTTCTTTGGCCAAACAACTTCCTAAAACTTTGTAAGTAGTTGAAATTTTCTCAAATTTCACTAAATTTTACACCTCGGACACTTGAGCCTGCATTGTTGACAGTATACCTTTGACGTTATTGAGCTCTGTTTACTTCAGGTATAAACAGTTAAAACAGTTACTAGATTATACTAGACACCAATTGCAAATTTTCAATCATTAGAATATGAAAGTGATAAGCAGGGCTCACAAAGTAAAAGAGAAGAAAGAAATGTGCAGTCTTACTTGACAAATAGGTTTCTTCCACAATTAACCATGAAATGAAGTACTACCCAAACCACATTTCAGTCATTTTTCTAATGGAAAGCAGAATTTCAGAATTTTCCTATCACTGAAGAGGAATTAGGTTGTTCAGACAGGGTGCAATCTCATTTGTTGTGATATATATTTTGTGGGCTTGCGAGTATGTAAATTTATTTGGGGAATAGAATTTAACTGGTGCATAGGCAAAGTTGTAAAAATACCTTTGTGCATGCATATTTTGAGAACTCGATTACATTATTTGTTGGTAAGGAAAGGTTTGCTCTCAATTTGCAGTGCTGCGATTTAATTCAATTATAATTTATATAACTGTCTTTAAAAATATATTCCATGTAACAAGTAGGTTTCTTTCATACTGAGGCCACTTTTAAATAGTGGGAAGTAAATTAACTGTAACAATTTGTGTCTTATACACTGAATTATTAAACTGTAAATAATTGTTATGAAAAAACAGTGCCAACTACCAGACAAAATTTTGTGGCAAGGGAGTTTTCATTGAGATGGCGAGTAAAAAAGAGAAGAAATGAGCTGATGAAGTTTGGGCTGCTTTTTATCAGTGTGTCTTTTACTATTATTGTTATGCAGATTATCCTTATCTCAAAGAAAAAAGCATTTTAAAATTGTTTATGACCAAACTTTTGTTCTGGCCCCAATTGTTTGCAGTGTAGATGATGCTCCCCGCTGGACAAATCTCTATTTGGTGGATAGTGCAGTATGCTTTGTTTACACTTATTAAGTGTTATCCAATTGGTCCCAAACTATATAATTGCTGTTTTGTAACCCATGGGAGGGAAGTAATACCACAGCCACCCTGGTACCCTTTGGACTGCACTCCTGATCACGACAGTAAAGTTCCTCCTTTTTCCATGTTGGTTGATAAGACACATGGCATTGTAATATAGCATCAGGTTCTGTGGCTGCCCTGCGGGATGGGGAGGGGAGGGAGGTGGGTTCTGTGCAAGTATTCATTTGACCTTTAAGTGCAGAAGAAGGCTCACAACTTTATTTTTAGATTCCTTTTCCCTTATACTTTGTATACCTCACAAGAAGGTGGCTATACTTAAGACTTACAAGTTAAGCTTGCAAAAGTTATATTAGTGACATCAGGCCTGTCTATTCATTTAGCATAAGTTTGCAATTATTAATTGATTTATTTGGTCATATTTAATAATTATTCACCAAAGTGGAAGTGAATAGTGGTAGATATTTACCAAGCTGCAACGCTTGGTAACCACTCCTTTCACTAATTGGATAACTATTCAGCATATATAACACACAAACTCCCAAAAATGTTATTTCTATTAATGCTCGTAAATTGAATTGTTGACACCTGATTTGGTCTCTTTGGCTGCCCTTGGGTTAATGGTACTTGCTATTCACTTCCAAACTGGCTAATCAGTTCGTGTGGAAAGCATTATTCAGCCGTGTGGTACTTATTATAACAACCAATATTGGCAACTGAAAACAACATTCCTTGGTCAAGTTTAGAGTCCAGTCCAGGGTCCTGTCCTTCCTTTCTAGCCACCAAAGAAAATGTCTGACATTTACATTCCGAAATTCATACACCAAGTCCACTTCGTGCTATTTGGCGAAAGCTAAAGAAAAAACGATCCATGAGCCCACTCCGTCCCCTACCCCCAACGAATCTGCACTACTGTAGCACCTTACCCTCACCACAGTCAATAGAGGGGACTATGCCCTCACCGATGTAATTAAAAGTACCAATTACGCCTTTTAAATTCTTATATGTTTTATTTCGAGTATTTCTATGCATTTCAGTCTTGCCACTGGTCCCTCCCTAACTGATGTCCACATTGGTTTGGACGCATGCAGGTGTTTAATCCTGTCCAGAGGGCAACGAAACTGCCAAACATCGGTCTACAAAAATGTAGGAAGTACAAGCAAAATAGGGACGTAATTTTGCTTTAAATTTGAAAATACGTAGTTCCGACTTTTGCTCAAAGAATACTTGTGTCCATTCCCATTAAAAAGAAAAAAAAAAACAGTCATATTTACCTATGAATAAAGGCTGATAGTTTCTAAAGAAACTGTTAGGGGCTGCGTCGGCGGGGGGTAACGAAATAATTTGAATATATCAACAAAGTTGAAATGTTAAGTTGGCCACCGTAACGATTACAAAAGCTGACGTTTCGAGCGTTAGCCCTTCGTCGGAGCGAATAGAGGAATTCTGAGTTGTGTGTGTTTTTAAAGGCAGAAAATGGAGCTACATTATTGGTGGGAACATATCTGTAGACGTTCATTTTGCGAGCTTGGGTTTCCTGTGAAAGCGGCGAAGTATATAATGACTTCCACTGACGTCAGTGTAGATACACAGAAAAACAGTAGAGCAACAGCAACTTATAGCCATGTTGTCACGTCACTGCCACCTCCAAACATCATTTACAGGACCATCCTTAGAAGTCCACATCATAGTATTAAATTTTGCTCCTGACTCAGTCTATTTATAAACTAAAACGAAGTTAATTTTATCTATTTTCGTCCAATGTCGCTCTGGCAATTCAGTAAAGTCCTATATGGTGTGGCTCTCAAAAAGAGGGTGGTGGGAAGGGTTGACACACATTCTCATACACGTTTCCTAAAACGTAAAAATTTTAACAGTCCAAGGTAAAACTACGGTTAAATGACGAGGTAATTTTGGTTTTATCAACTGAGTTGATAATGCAAATTGGCCACCGTAAAGAGTTTCAAAGCGGACGTTTCGAGCCTTAGCACTTCGTCAGAGCGAATTCGCTCAGTTGATAAAAACAAAATGACTAGACCTTGGTACACTTCCCCACCGACGCAGCACCACAGCTTCTTTAGAAACTTTCTTAACTTTATACGCTTAAATAAGTTGTTCTAGTGTGATGAACCTTTTTACCTAGGATGATTGCAGAAAAAGCGCTTAAACTAATTATAAAATAGAAAGCTTTTGTCGCACAGGATTTGTTTAAAACATGCCCTAAAGAGTTGAGGCTCTTCAAAACACTTTGAACTCTCCAGTGATATGAATCGTAAATTTTAGTAAATCCTGTGTACGAAAGTCGATACATGTCTTTTGCATCTTCGAGACTTCCTGTTGCTAAGTAAGCGTTGCCAAGGAGCTGTCTTGTCTCTGCGATCAAGTGCTCCAAGTTGGCACTCGTGTCCTTTCGAAGGAGGATGTTTAGGGCTCTCTTGTGTAAAAAAATCGCCTGTTTGAGCTCCCCCAAGGCGCTGTGAGCGGCTCCTAAACTGTTCATTGCCGTCGCAACTGCAGCATGCCGTTCGCCCCAGGTGCGATTGAAGATATGCAAAGCTCTTTGTAAGACCATCTTGGCTTTTTTACCTTCATTCAAGCGAGTGTACACTACCCTTGGATCATTTAAAGCCTCGCCAAGTATAAAGTGCTCCGAATCAAACACTTTTTCTTTGATAGACAAGGAGCGTTCCAGAACCATCTTAGCCTTGCTTAAATTTCCTTGGTCTCTATACATAAATCCGAGAAAATTCAGTGCCTCGGCCACGTGAGGGTGCAACTCTCCGTGAAAGTCCTCAAGTATTTGCAATCCACGTTCTGTGTGGTGTATGGCGTTACTGAAGTCTCCAAGCCTATAATGGACAGTTCCAATAGTGGTGTAAAGCCTCCCAACCCTTGCGTGACTTGGGCCATATATCTCTTGCAGCATGATCAGTGAGCGATTATGCAACTGCAGTGCATCTTGGTACTTCCCAAGGTGGCTATAAACTACTGCTAAGTTAAGAAGTGAGCCTGAAATGTATACACGGTGGTCTCCGAGTAACCTCTCTAGTAACCTTAGCGACCATTCATGCGCAGACTGAGCAATAGCTAGGTTACCTAAGTAACGGTAAACGATTCCGAGTTTATGTAGCGTGCTTGCCTTGCCTAAGGAAACCTCTTTGTCGTCATCGCTGCTTGTATTGTGTTCTCGTTTGCTGTTGCTTGTGAAATTTGTGCGATAAAAATTAAATGCGAGCTCATGAAGGTCCTTCGATCGGTAAGGATACCCTAAGCCGCGATACATCGCTCCTAAGATATTCAAAAGAACTGGCTTTGTTTTGTTTATGACAACTGTATCTTTATTTTCTTTTTGAATAAGTTTCACAATCCCTGTAGAGGTCTTATTGATTGCAGTCATGAAAGACTCTTTTTGCAGCTTTGAGGCTCCGCTGTGCAAGCTAAGCACAAGGAGAATTATCTGCAAGTCAAACCGTGAGCCGTTGTTTGCCTGGAAGTTCGTCAGAGTCACCACTTCATTTAGTCGAAACTCATTTGTCGTGGCCTTGATCAAACCTGGCCAATACCCAGAGCTGTGCGCAAAGAACCGCAAGAAGGTGTCTGAAAAACTGACGTTCATTACATCTTCCATTTTCAAGCCTTCCCTCGAGGAAAATACACATAACGAGGTCAGGATATCTAAATATTCAGAACCAAAAACGACGTTAGATTCTGTTACCATGGCGTTTACCAAGTTAAGCAAAGATGAGGTTGTGAAATTCAGCTGTCGCTCAAAGGATGAAACCAGTCTTTGAAAGACATCTGACAGCAGCAGCTGGCTGTTACTGAGGTTAGCCTCAGTACTGATCGTGAGATTGCAAAATGCTGAATTAATGCAGCTCGGGTTATGAAGACTTACCTTGCAAACGCGGCGGAAAGCTTCTCTGATTACTTGATGGGTGTACAGAGTTTGGTGGCTCTCTTGACCCGCCACTTTAAAAAGCACGTTCCTTAGGGAGTTTCTGACTTGCGCTTCTGTGAATTGATGGCTCGAGTTTTTTAAGAAGTCGAGGACGTAGGATAGACTAAGCGGCGATGAATCTGTAAATCCAATACAGGTGATTTCCCGAATTACTGGATCAATCTGAGCCGACTGGTTAACCGCTTTCAGGACAGCGGTGTACATGGCAACGGCGTATTTCGAAGCGTCGCTTTCTTGCCACTCGATTTCCTCCTCCATTCCAAGAGAGTGAATGTCTCGTTTGAACTCAGAAATTTAGTCTGCATAAGAATATGTCGAACGCTTGGGGGGACCTTGGCGCACGCTTTCTATATAGATCGCAGCGGTGGCAACAGCGAGTGGTTGCCTTCCGAGAATATCCGCGAGTTCCTTAGCATTGCGCTGGCTGCTTTTGTCTAATCCTGTAATCAGTTGCAGAAGTTTAATGGAATCATTTGAGGTCATGCCCTCGTATAAATCCTGTACCTCTACGTAATCACTTAGTCTTTTCACAGACACGCGCTTTTCTAGTGTAACGATGACTACAAAAGTCGTGAAATGCTGACTTCCTGGTTCAAGGTTAAGGTTGTGGAACAACCACTTCAACTCTCGCACGTTGTCGAAAATCAACACTGGGCGGCTGTTTCGTTGTTTAAAAAGCTTGCAAAGTTGTGCATAAATAATCTTTAGTTTCATTTCAGTTTTTAAATCATCTCCTTCCTTTGAGAACAAATCGCCGAATTTAAGACTCAACTCATCTTTGATTTGTTTCATACCGTCCGTCTTTTCCGCTGAACTTTTACTGAGAGAAGAAATTGAGTCAACAAGGCTTGATATGAGCGAAGTGACAGCGGCAGCCTGGATTGTTATGATGTCAACCGGTCTATGGTCTTGCTTCAGTGATTCATTTAAACGAAGCCCCACTTGTCTAGCGAGTTCCGATTTCCCTGAACCTGGACCGCCGATCAAATACATGTGAACTTGCTTCCCATCATGTTCTTTGGACAGCACCGTTATCCGCCTCGTTACGTTGAAAAGTTCTTCTTCACGCCAAACCCATCGATGCCTTGGAGGCCACGAAACCTCGTTGAAATAAACGCTTGGTAAATCAGGTGGAAAAAGTCTGTTCCAAACACCAGTTGTGTTATCGTAGGCTGTATACAGCTGGGGAATTTTTACAACGGCATAAATCGATATGAGTACAATAAGGGTAGACAATATACCGAGAACTGTTTTCGGGTGAGAGTTCTTGAATTCCAAGATGACTTTTATCACTTGCCAAACCCATTTAATCACTGGCATTTCATTCAAAACTGCGTCCATAGAGTCCCAAGGAGAACTCGCGGATGTCGGATTACTTTGAGCTCCAGTTGGTGCCGCATTGAGCGGCTGTGTTAAAGATGTATTGTTGCCTCGAGATGTCTGCCTTCTAGTTGCCACCGGCATCTTGAACAAGAAGTATACCGAATGAAACACAGGCAACACTGTCTCACGTGACAGCAGATTGGGGATGATGTCATAGCCTCTCGAAGTTACGCAACTGATCACATTTGCACGCTGAAACGACCAAAAGGTCTGGGGATGAATATATTCAACTCAATCCGTCGGGAGTTGAACTGTATATTTCCTTTTCTTTTCCTTTCATTTAATTCCTTTTAGATTTAAGCTGTCCATTTTCAACCATACTTCAATTTCGGACCAAGTTTTTCTACGTGGGCTCACTGTTTCGTCATATGTGCGGGATCAAGGAACAAACACTAAATTTCCCGGTAGGTCTAAGTTGTTTACGCGTTATTTTATTTTAGGAACCTACGTGTAACTTCGTCTGCAATGTGGAGAATTGAAGTCTCGTGATGTTCTTGTGAATAAACTTTGGATTGATCGTCCTCGGAATTTACTTCACTTTGTCACGACTTAGGTATCATTGAACCCGAAATCAGCGAGGACTCATCGTTTCATTTTCCGTTTCAATGAATGCTAGTTAACTTCGAAGAGCCCTATGGCTTCATTAAACATTTGGAAACGCCATCTCACGTCGTTGCCGCAGTTGGAATAGTAGATAATTCTCTGAAGAGTTCTTTCAGAAAATGCTGAGTTATTTTTGATTGCCTTTAATTTGGGAGAACTCAACAGACTCGGCACTGTCACCTGTGTTCCACTTGGATTGTGATCATGATTCCATATTTCTTCTTTGGACAATTTGTGACTTACCCTGGCTGTGTATATTGTCTGCAAAATGGTGGATAGATTTTATATCATTAAGCTATTGTTTTTCGGGAATCAGGAATATATTATTACCTTACAGTATACTAGAACTCTTCT